ACGCTCACATCCGCAGATCTACCTCTCCACCGCACCACACCCACACATCTGCACATCTATATCACATCTGTACATCCACACTGTCGCTCCTTCACATCTGTCCTGTCTTTCTTTCTTTCTTTCTACATATCTTTTCTCTCGTCTCTGTGCATTTACATCTTTGCACGCTCACATCCACAGATCTACCTCCACCTCCATACATCTACAGAATCTATATTGCACCTGCGCATCCACACTATCACTCCTTCACATCCACCCTCTCTTTCTCTCTTTCTATACATCTTTTCGACAGTGCTGGACAATTACATGTCTCGCTCTCGGGCCAACCGTCGTCTAGTTCTCAGTTTAACGTTTTCAACACTCTCCTTTTTGCGTGCTACTGAGGCTTATTATCAAAGGAACAAAGTCCTATTCTGCAACTCTCCATTCTTCTGAAACTGGTCTTTTGCAAATACTTGGCACTCTTCCCCAACTACTCGCCGTTTTCCCGTTTTCGCCGTTTTCGCGTTTTCGCCGTTTTCGCGCCGATGCGGTGTTCTAGAAAACCGTGAGCTGTGTCAAATCCAAGCACTTTGTTTCCGCCGTTTTCCCGTTTTCGCCGTTTTCGCGTTTTCGCGGTTTTCGCGTTTTCGCGTGGCCTGCCCCCGCATCACCGGGGGCCGAGACACACGTTTCGTATGCACAGCAGACCAGCGACCGCGCGTAAGAAGCAGTAATGTCAGCACCTGGGCTGCATCACCGCAAACCTCACCTGGTCAGCTCTGAGCTGCCAGGCAAAGCCCTCACACACGGTCGCCGGTCCGCGCGCGTTGTCCTTTGTTGGCCAGATGGCCATTGCAATCCCTCAACGGGCCTTCGCCCCGCCTCGCGCCCCTCCCTGTTCTATCCTCCGCCCCGTCCCCGCCCATCTTCCGTCGCCTCTCTTCCGTCCACCGACGGACAAACGCTTTTCGTCGCTCGTCCGCGGTGGACTTGAGGGCTTCCAACTGCCACTGTGCCCACGCCGGACCACGCCCACAGACCAGCGACCGTTCGTAAGACGCAGTGATGTCAGCACCTGGGCTGCGTCACCGCAAGCCTCGCCTGTTCAGCTCTGAGCTGCCAGGCCAGGCCCTCACAAACG